TTATTCTCAGTTTTTAAGAGTCTCTTATGGCTTGGCTCTCTCCCTCTTTTTTTTTCTTTCCCCTCCATCATGGTCTTCTGTTAAGTTTCTCAAGTTCCACATATGAGTGAAAACATATGGTATCTGTCTTTCTTGACTTATTTCACTTAGCATAATACCCTCCAGTTCTATCCAAGTTGTTGCAAATGGCAGGATTTCATGCTTGCTCATTGCCAAGTAGTATTCCATGGTATACATAAACCACATCTTCTTTATCCATTCATCAGTTGATGGACATTTAGGCTCTTTCCATAATTTGGCTATTGTTGAAAGTGCTGCTATAAACATTGGGGTCCAAGTGCCCCTATGCATCAGCACTTCTGCCTGTATCCCTTGGGTAAATTCCTAGCAGTGCTATTGCTGGGTCATAGGGTAGATCTATTTTTAATTTTTTGCGGAACCTCCACACTATTTTCCAGACTGGCTGCACCAGTTTGCATTCCCACCAACAGTGCAACAGGGTTCCTGTTTCTCTACATCCTCGCCAGCATCTATAGTCTCCTGAGTTGTTCATTTTAGCCACTCTGACCGGCATGAGGTGGTATCTCAGTGTAGTTTTGATTTCTATTTCCCCGATGATGAATAATGTTGAGCATCTTTTCATGTCTGTTGGCCATCTGGATGTCTTCTTTGGAAAAGTGTCTATTCGTGTCTTCTGCCCATTTCTTAACTGGATTATTTGTTTTTTGGGTGTGGACTTTGGTGAGTTCTATATATAGATTTTAGATACTAGCCCTTTATCTGATATGTCACTTGCAAATATCTTTTCCCATTCCGTTGGTTGCCTTTTAGTTTTGTTGATTGTTTCCTTCGCAGTGCAGAAGCTTTTTATCTTGATGAGGTCCCAATAGTTCATTTTTGCTTTTAATTCTCCTTTGGAGACGTGTCGAGTAAAAAATTGCTATGGCTGAGATCAAAGAGGTTGTTGCCCACTTTCTCCTTTAGAGTTTTGATGGCTTCCTGTCTAACATTCAAGTCCTTTATCCATTTGAGTTTATTTTTGTGAATGGTGTAAGAAAGTGGTCTAGTTTCATTCTTCTGCATATTGCTGTCCAGTTCTCCCAGCACCATTTGTTAAAGAGACTGTCTTTGGGGCGCCTGGGTGGCTTAGTCAGTTAAGCGGCCGACTTCGGCCCAGGTCATGATCTCACGGCCTGTGAGTTCAAGCCCCGCGTCGGGTTCTGTGCTGACAGCTCGGAGCCTGGAGCCTGTTTCAGATTCTGTGTCTCCCTCCCTCTGACCCTCCCCCGTTCATGCTCTGTCTCTCTCTCTGTCTCAAAAATAAATAAACGTTAAAAAAAAAAAATTAAAAAAAAAAAAGAGACTGTCTTTTTTCCATTGGATATTCTTTCCTGCTTTGTCAAAGATTAGTTGGCCATATATTTGTGGGTCCAATTCTGGAGTCTCTATTCCATTGGTCTGTGTCTGCTTTTGTGCCAATACCATACTGTCTTGATGATTACAGGTTTGCAGTAGAGGCTAAAGTCCAGGATTGTGATGCCTCCCACTTTGTTTTTCTTCTTCAGTATTACTTTGGCTATTCGGGGGTCTTTTGTAGTTCCATACAAATTTTGAGATTGTTTGTTCTAGCTTTGAGAAGAATGCTGGTGCAATTTTGACTGGTATTACACTGAATCTGTAGATTGCTTTGGGTAGTATTGACATTTTAACAATGTTTATTTATTTTTGAGAGAGAGAGAGAGCACAAGTAGGGGAGGGGCAGAGCGAGAGGGAGACACAGAATCGGAAGCAGGCTCCAGGCTCTGAGCTGTCAGCACAGAGCCTGACACGGGGCTCGAACTCACCAACTATGAGATCATGACCTGAGCCGAAGTTGGAAGCTTAACCGACCGAGCCACCAGGTGCCCCAAGAGATTTAAATAATTAAGAAAATGTTACTTCTCTGTTTTCTGGAAAGGTTTTAGCTGTGCTGCCAGGCTTCTGAGATACAGAGCGTTCATGTCTGCAAGAAAGGACAGTCAGAGGCCTCCCATCTGCCATCAGCGTCACCCGGGGGGGGGGGGATGGGGTCAGTGGGGCTTTGAGAATTTTGTCATTTTACCTGATGTGCATATTCTTAGATTTGGGACCTGTTTTCCACTTGGGTTGTTTTTTTTTTTTTGTATGTTTGTTAGTTTTGCGTGTGTTTGCAATGACTATATATTACTTCTTAATAATGTTTTATTAAGTAATTTTAAAATGTCTCAATATAAAAAGATTCTCCTACCTTGCCTTTCAGAGGAAGGCAAAATGACACAGGAAAAGGGAATAAAGTATTAGAAATGAGAGAAAACATTTGCATATAAGGGTAAAGTGGGGGCGCCTGGGTGGTTCAGTCACCCAGAGCATCTAACTCTTGATCTCAGAGTCATGAGTTCAAGCCCCACACTGGGCGTGCAGCCTACTTAAAAAAAAGCGGGGGTGGGGGGGGGATAAAATGTGCTTGTTCACCAGTGAAAAAGCAGATTATTTTAGACCCATTAAAATAATCATAAATGAGGGGCGCCTGGGTGGCGCAGTCGGTTAAGCGTCCGACTTCAGCCAGGTCACGATCTCACGGTCCGTGGGTTCGAGCCCCGCGTCAGGCTCTGGGCTGATGGCTCAGAGCCTGGAGCCTGTTTCCGATTCTGTGTCTCCCTCTCTCTCTGCTCCTCCCCCGTTCATGCTCTGTCTCTCTCTGTCCCAAAAATAAATAAACGTTGAAAAAAAAATTTTTTTTTTAAAAATAAAAAAAAAAATAAAATAATCATAAATGAAAGGCTAACCCACTTCGAGGATGTCTAAGTGTGCCAGGGAGTCACAAAATAGGCCAGCCGAAAGCACAGGAGGACAGAAAGGGTAAAAGGGCAAAATTAAATTGAAGCGGCAATTTTTGCTAATAGAATAAAAATGGAAACTAAAGTGAACGCTTGAGTTAGGGATTAATATGTGGACACAGTGTTCTCCTACTTAATTCTGTAACGTTGTCTCACCTCGGGCTCAGAATCCGCACGTTTATTAGATTCAGGATATCAGCACTTTATTGTTTTGCTTCTTTAGGGAATCAGCTCATGAGACTAAAAATGTACCATGACAACCGTGTCACTTAGATCCTCTGACAGTGTAATGAGACCTCCCTTTAGCAGATTTCTTTCCTTCTGGAAAATTCTACTTCACGAAAAATATTTTAGCAGCATCCCATGCTCAAAGTATTTAAGAGGTTCAATGCTTAAATGTGCAGAGAGCCCCCCCTGGGGAGGGACAAATCCTTTAGAAATCAAATGTTTACCTTTCCACCCACCACTGTTCTAAATTCGGATTCCTACAGAACGTTCCCACTCAGCTAGTCCTGCTGAACCAAAGGCCCTCCAGCCATGGCCTACAGCACCTGCTGCATGGGCCGCCCTCCCCCGGCCAGGTAGAGCGGGAAGGGTGGGCACACCCCAAATTGCTTCCTTCCACAAGGGCGCAAGCTACACAGGAATGCTCTGTGTGTGATCAGAAGGGGGCCTTGCCTTTTGACTGGGGGCCCTCGCAACCCCCAGACCTAACCTTGATGGGGCTTCCTGCTCCATTCTCCACACAGCTGGCTGGCTCTGGGGCATAGTGGGGAGAGCACAGGCCTTGCAAGCAGGCTGCTTGGATCGGACCCCGCCCAGCCCTCTTCCATGACTCTGGGCAAACCGCACCTCTGTTCCCCCATCTGTAAGACAGAGTTGATAGCAATACCTATCTCGTAATGGTAAGGATTCGGTAAAGCTCGTGAACTGTTAGAATTGAACCAGCTATGATCCTTACTACCACTGGCACTCCATGAAAGTGAAAGCACGTTGCTAGAGCCAGGAGACACGAACGGGGTTTCAGGTTGTAAGCTGGGCTCAGAAGAGGTCAGGTGGCTGGAGGGAGAATGCCAAGAACATGCTAGGGACATGTGGGGGCGGGGGGGGGGGAACAGGCCAGTGGAGCAGAGAGGTGACACTCGTCTTAACGTGCTCCCTGAAAAAAGGAGTAATTCCAAGTCCCACACATGATTTGGAAAACCAGGTCTTTGTGGATCTGAATAACTGTCCTGCTTTTTGGCCCCACAGCACTGAATGAAGAAGTCAGCCACTTCGAGAAGCGAAAGCTATTTATTTTGGTATCCACGGTGATGACCTGGGCACGCTCCAAACTCCTGGACCCCGTAAGTAGAGCACTAGCTTTTCCTTTCTGTGACATCCCACCCTTGAGACCCCCTGATGTGTGTGTGGAGAGAACTTTCTCTAGGGCACTGTGTCCTCTTACACACTCCTGAAGCCCATCCCGGAATAAGCGTTCAACAGAAATCACGGACCCCAAGCACGCTGAATTCTAGGGGGCCTCGTTGTGCTATGTGCCCCTGAGAAAGGAAAAGGAAACTCTACAAATGACACTCAACCACAACCATGCTTACGTATCACTTACACTTCTTATTTGAAGAAGCTCTTTCAGACTTAGACCTGTGTTTCTGCCCCATACCTTCTTGCGCATAGACGGAAAGGAGAATATAAGCAACATGCCGTTGTGATCACAACACCCAACTTGTTCATATTCGGAGTCCAGACGTCTGACTCACGCCTACCTTCTTTGTCCGCACGGTAACTCAGTATGAACCCTGCCTCGCGGCATTTATTTCCTTTTCTGTGAAGCCCATAGTTCTTACTTTGCAAGAAAATGTGAAACGACAGCCATTCTCCCAGGGGCTGCTTGTTTTCTTTACCGATATCAGGTTTACATTCGCGGCTCTGCCCCAGTGCCTTTGTGCCATGAAGTGCCTTTTAGTTTCAGCGCCGAATCACGACGTGATCTTTTAAAGAGACGTTTAGGAAGGCAATTAAATGATCACACGCGGTACCTAATTCCATCTGGAAGGATGCTAGTATGAACAGCTGTGCTCAAGGTCACCCTCAGGCACCAGCAAGGACAGAGTCAATGCCCCTGGCTGAGAACGGCTGTAATCAGCCGTTGATCCCGAGGCACATTCTAATGTCAGAGATGTCAGGATGTCGGGGGGAAATGCACACGTTAGAATCAGTGGGATACATTACCTATAACAAGGAGATATTTAGGGATTTATCACACATCGCCTCAAACGCCATTTGTTTAACTGTCTCTCCCTTGGTGAAGCAGGACATGCTTGACGTAGGGCCCTGAGGGTTTCAGTCCTTTTCTGAAAAGTAAAGTTCACTCACCCACTCCATTTGGTTGCCCCCACCTCAAGGGCCAAGCCAGTCGTTGGACCCTGTCGTGGTTGTTTCCCTCAGCATGTTCAGCCAAGTGTCTGCTGCAACACAATTATTGGTCACTCGACTGGCTGCAGGCCTGGTTGACCGTGCTCAATGAGTGAGAAACCGCTCGTACTGACTTAAGCAAAACGGGAATGTATTGACTCATAGCTGGTAAGTCCAGTGGTGGACTTCAGGCACAGCTGGAACTGGAGGCTTAAACACAATGTCTTCAGACCTCGCTATGCTCTTTCTCTCTTCCGTGGCTTCTTTGGTCCCGAGTAAGCTTTGCTCTCACGTAAGCTCCCCTCCTGTTGGGCCCCAGCAGCTCCCAGGCTTACGTCCCCTGGAGCGTCAATTCTCTTTTCCACTTCCGTTTTGTCTCATCCCAGGTCTTGAGCCTCAACCTGAGCCGGTCACAGAGGCCAGGGGAACACAGAACTCGGGGTGGGCAGGCCTGGGGTTCTATACTCGCTTCTAGAGGCGGGGGTGACTGGCCCCCAAACTACAGGGGCTGAGAGTGGAGAAGAGATGGGTCCTCCAAAGAAAATAGGGGGAAATGGCTGCTGCGTTAGTTCCTAAGCCCTGTGGCACGTCCCCATCCTCCCATTATGGCTCTAACCTATATGTCCGTAAACAGCTCATGATGGACTGACGTGAGGCTTATTAAGGTATAAGGTACATAGAGTACCCATCACCCTCTTCCTCGCGCAGCTCTGTGAGTTTTGACAGATGCATATGGTTGTGTAACCACCACAGCAACCAAGATAGAGGACATCTCCATCACCCCCTGAAATTGTCTACCTTGCACCATACAAAAGCTCAGTTCCAGATGGATCACAGAATTCAAAGTGAAGACCAAAACTTTCATTTTTTGAGAAATATTAATAGAATCTATACAGGGAGTCTCTTAAACAGGACCTAGTAATGCGAAATATGAAAATAAAATGAATAAATTCAATTGCAATGAAGTGAATGAGGCATTTATGGATGAAACGATGCTATGTGTGAGATTTCCTTCGAAATCATCCAGTGGATGAAGAGGTAGATGGGGGTAGAGAGGAAACCAGTTTCGCTATGTAGGAATCTGAATCGAATCAAACGTAAACATCACACAGACCCCAATGGAAGGGTGTTCTATTCAATAACTGGCCTATATTCTTTAAAGATGGCAATGAGAGAGAGAATTGAAACACTATTCCAAATAAAGACGATTGAGACATGGCGGCTCAGGGCCAAACGTGATCCTGGATTGGCGTCTGTACCAGAGGAAAAGCGCTATACAGAACATTACTGGGACAGTTGACAAAGTTGGGGCATGGACTGCAGATTGGATAGAGCTATCCTATCAGTATGAAATTTCCTGAATTTTGTCACCGTAGTCCGGTTTCATAGGAGAATGTTCTTAGGAGATACACACTGAAAAGTAAAGAGAAAAGGGGTGCGGTGTATGCAATCTGCTCTCAAATGGTTCAGAAAAAAATAAATAGTTTTAATAATTAAAAGCAAAATCTTCACCCAGCCTAGCAAATCCCTCCACAAGGCAGGAGAGAAAAGAAATAGCTTTATTACGGAACAAGCATTAAAATGGAATGTCACAGGGCGCCTGGGTGGCGCAGTCGGTTAAGCGTCTGACTTCAGCCAGGTCACGATCTCGCGGTCCGTGAGTTCGAGCCCCGTGTCAGGCTCTGGGCTGATGGCTCGGAGCCTGGAGCCTGTTTCCGATTCTGTGTCTCCCTCTCTCTCTGCCCCTCCCCTGTTCATGCTCTGTCTCTCTCTGTCCCAAAAATAAATAAAAAACGTTGAAAAAAAAATTAAAAAAAATAAAATGGAATGTCACGCTTGGCGTAGGTGATCCGCTAAGAGGTTGCAGACGTAGAAGGAAATCTCACCTTTTTCCAGAGTCAACCAGATACAATCCATTGCATACATGTTTCCTGGCCAACAACAATTAGCTCTTGAGTGAGAGGCCTTGACATCACCATCTGTCACAAATAGTTTGTCCCAGAGTCACCTAGTAATTTGGGTGGCCATCTGTGTTAGCTAATTGGCTTTATCCAGAGGAAAAACAAACCTTTCGTAGCTTTATGACAGGAGGTAGTTTCGGAGCTTAGAGCAAGGCTTCCAGCAAAGTGAGGCTCCTACCTGCCCACCAAAACTGGAAGACAGGGGTCCTCTCTCCACTGATGTTTACGTTACAATTTTTTAAAATTTATCTATTTTGAGAGAGACAGAGACAGCATGAGTTGGGGAGGGGCAGAGAGAGAGGGAGGCAGAGAATCCCAAGCAGGCTCTGCGTTGTCAGTGTGGAGCCCGACTCAGCTCAACCCCATGACCTGAGGCAAAGTTAAGAGTCAGATGCGCTTAACCCACTGAGCCACCCAGGCGCCCCGGGGAAAGTTTATCTCTTATTCATATAGAACATATGACAAGTGTCCCAGATGAATGAGTACGTGTCCTCCCAACTCTGATTCGAGACCCAGACTCCTTCCATTGGATGGCTTGACCATCTCCCAGAATGGCCTCCAGAGCCATGATGCAAATCTATATCAAGCCAGGGAGCCCCCCCGGGGAGAAGTCACAAAAGATCATGCTTGGGGGAACCTTTGCAAGCCAGGCCTGAAGACATGTGCGTCCTTTCTCTAAATCCCTTGGGCTAAAACCCAGTCACATGGCCACACCCAACCGCAAGAGAGGCTGGGAGGTGTAATCTCACTTTGTGCCCGGGGAAAATCAAGGTGGTCCGGTCTTTGGCACAGAGAGAAGTCTGCCAGGAGACCCCTGGGAAGGGCTCATCTCTGATAAAGAGAGCCTTCAAGGAAGATGCAACCTTCTTCCCTCTGGGAATATTATTGACTGTGGATATGACACTTGGGACTGCTGTTGCCAGTGTTGCTTATAAGCCTGAAGAGGAGGGCCACACAGTGAGTAAGGTAGAGCTCAGAGGGCATCAGAGGAGCACAGAGGCCCATCACGGGGCACCTGGAGCCACCGGGTTTTTGAATGTTATTTATCGGAGGTCATGAATCCCATCAGTGTTGGGGCCATTTTGAATTTGACTTTCTGTTACTTGTAGTCAAAAGCAACCAAACGGACATAAAACTGTATAAGGAGCATTTTTAATACAAAAGAAGTGTAAATATAGTAGAATATTTTCATTTGTATTTATTTTGACAAGTAGGAAAATCTTAATGTTTCTGGGGCTTTCTTCTTTAGTATATTTTATTTTATTTTAGTTTATTTTATTTTAGTTTAGTTTAGTTATTTATTTTGAGAGAGCAAGAGAGTGGGAGAGGAGCAGAGGGAGGGAAAGACAGAAACCCCAAGCAGGCTTTGCACTGTCAGCATGGAGCCCGATGCGGGGCTCGATCTCACAAACCTGAGCCAAAATCAAGAGTCCAATGGTCAACCAGCTGAGCCACCCAGGTGCCCCAGTATCTGTTTTAAAAGTATAGCTATGTGTTTGCTTTTTTTTTTTTTTTTATGTGTGAGTTAATAGGGGTGAACTTTACTCAACCAAATAATCCAGAGGAAGAAACTGGTGCATTCTGATAGTCACACGGAATAACCAGCTGGGAAAAGGAGTCCAGCAAGTGGGTAGTCCACACACGCAGTGAAACACAACGACCAACTAAAGAGTGGGTCCAACGCCATATTCCAAGACAACAGATTTCACCCAATATCCTAAACAAAAAGAGGGAGATCACTCTGCAGAGTCAGCTTTTCACCTCCTGGAAGGACGAAGCCTCTAAACAAGCTTATTGATTGCAGTGAGATGCCCAGGAGACAGGCTACGTTTCCAGAAATGCTACCAGACATCGATATGTATCAATTATAGGATAATGGATATAATGCCGACCCAGGGTCGACTCGTCATTGATTGGAAAAGCAGAGATGCAAATAGTTGCAAGGATCTAAAACCTATATGAAAGATACAGGTTATCTATCTATCTATATATAAAATATATATATATATTAAAATATATTTTACTGGTATATTTGTAACACGTGACATTTAAGGACTAGAAGGAACACAGTCAGATGATAGTAGCAAAGGTTCATAATGCGAAAGCCAGGTCTCTGTCCCAACCAGGAATCGGGAGGACAACTCAGAAGCTGAAGCCCAGGTTGTTGACATTCATGGGCGACCGTGCAGCTGGCCAGGGAGGGGGTGATCTTGCTTGTCCATCAGTCCCAGTCTCAGAATGTTAAGGACGAGTTTGACTGGCCATCAAAACCTGAGCACCAGGGATGTGACCGTCTCTGCAGTAGCCGTGAGGACTGAAGGAAAGACAAATTCTACTAGAAGAGGGATGCTGGGCACCCAGTCACAGGGAGCAGGAGGGTCCATGAGGCAGGGTCCTATCATGACAGCCTGGGGCCGTAGGGATGCCGGGACTCCATTCATCCCGGAGGGAAAGCTGATAGTGAGTAGGATGGCCAGATTTAACAAATACAAGTACAGGATGCCCAGTTAAATTCTAATTTCGTGTAAATGGTGAGTAATGTTTAGCTTAAGTCTATCCTGTGAGATATTTAAGACATATTTACACTAAAAATTATTTGGTGGTTTATCTGAAATTCAAATTTAGCTGGGTGCCCTGTAGTTCTTCTAGCTACCCTTTATGTGAGCCACTGGACATGCTTTAGAGGTCAGCTTATCCCGTAACATGTACTCATTGAGTGCCTACCATGGACCCAGAATTGTTCCCCTTGAACACTAACTCTCCCCCCGTTTTACTCCCCATGCCAAAACCCCCAATCCACCTGCCCTAGCCTCACTCCCTTCCCCCCACCCAACAACCCATCGTACATCCTGTCAACTCATCACCCAAAATGTGCCATAATCATCTTGCTTTCTTTGTATCCATGGCGATGTCCTAGACCAAGCCTCAGCCGTTACCACCTTCCATTGTGAAAGCATCCCGGGAACTGGTGCCTCCGTCACCTCCTTCCAATGCAATCTTCAAGGGACAGCCTAAGTGATCTTAAAATATAATTCAGATCATGACTTAGTGCTGCTTAAAGTGCTCAAAACCCTTCAATGCTTCCTTATGCTCTTAGTATAAATCTAAACTCCTCCACATGGCCCACAAGCCCTGGTAAACTGCCTCACCCTCCACCAGTTCCCAGCTTGGTCCCCCATCATTTGGGCCCTTCCTCCCATTTCTCCAACCTGCCAACAATCGGGGTCCTCAACCCTGTGTTTCTTCTGTTTCTCTGATTCATTCCTTGTAAACTCAGGGCTCCAATGTTTTGGGTTGATTATGTAACTTGGACCACTGTGAAGTGGTTGAAAGTCTCCTATTGAACAATGTGTTTTAAAAATCCCCCTCCAGGAGTGCCTGGGTGGGTGAGTCCATTATGCTTCCGACTTCGGCTCAGGTCACGATCTCACGGTTCATGAGTTCAAGCCCCGTGTCGGGCTCTGTGCTAACAGCATGGAGCCTGCTTGGGATTCTCTCTCTCTCCTTCTCTCTGCCCCTCCTCCACTCTCCCTATCTCAAAAGAAGATAAAATAAGCATTTGAAAAAATAAAAAAATAAAATCCTCATCCAACTACGAGGACCTCTAAATCTGGATGGATTTAGAGAAGCCACTCTGTACCATGGGTCTCAGTGTCCTCCTTTGAGTCTCTGTAAGTTTCCATTTTGTGGTTCTGGTAAGAATCCTTCCATGCGACTGGGCAGGAGGGTGAGCTGTGGGAGGACTGGACACAATGTGCAGCCCAGCGGACTGCCAAGAAATATTTTTCATCCCTGATTCACAATGCAAATTGATATTTCACCTTATCTGATGAAGCCTGACATAGAAATTTGCACATGGAATGTTCTTATGAGGTTGATTCGAGGGGAAAGGGCAGTGTGGAAGAGAAAGAAAAACCCATGATTTAGATTAAAACATGAAACTATGTAAGTTGCAAGAACTATTAAGAAATGGGTTATTGAGGAGCGCCTGGGTGGCTCAGTTGGTTAAGCATCTGACTTCGGCTCAGGTCATGATCTTGTGGTTCGTAAGTTCAAGCCCCGTGTCGGGCTCTGTGCAGACAGCTCGGAGCCTGGAACCTACTTCCGGTTCTGTGTCTCTCTCTCTCTGCCCCTTCCCTGCTTGCACTCTCTTTCTCTCTCTCTCTCAAAAATAAATGAGCATTAAAAAATAATTTTAAAAAATCAAAGAAATGGGTTACTGAAGGTCTTGATGGAATCCCAGAGACAACCTGACGCTGTCTCTACAAAATAAAAGAAAGACATTTGAATTTTTATTTTGTTTCAATTAAGTATAAATGATAACATTTGGCCAGCTAAAGCATTTTCAAGGAAGTCAAATCACTGTAAAAATAAGCAGTAACTTTTCAGATGCTTTATCTGAGCTCTTTGGAACATAGCCGAGCCAGCATCTGGGGCTTAGATGTTTTATGTAGCTCTTGAGTTTCACCCATCCAATCTGGATTTTTTTCTTTCACAGGATGATTCTGAGATCCCGTTTACTGAGGAGGATTATCGAAGAAGAAAGCAACATCCTAATTTTCTGGACCACATCAATGCCGAAAAAATGGTTCTCAAATTTGGAAAAAATGTAGGTGTGGAGTAGTAAGGCATTTAGGGTAAGAGAAGTCCTTTCTGAGGCAGCGCTCAACGCACGTGGCCGGGACTGTTCTCCGTGCCTTACGGACATCATCTCAGCTCGTTAAACGCCTCTTTCCTTGTCCTCACGCCCACAGGTCTCTGAGCTTCAGGCTCATCCCAAGATGAGCCTTACATCTGGTTCTGGCTTTGGTCCAGTCCACTAAGTTGAGAGCCTTGTGTTAGGCCCCAGCAGAGCTCAAGCCCTTATCCACTAAGGTGTGGGTCCAAAGAGTCCCTTAGCCCAGAAGAGGCAGATAACTCAGAGTTGGAGTGGGGAAGAAGGGAGCCACATTTCCCCTTTTTCCAGAATCTATCTCATTTGTTTCTTATAACCGAAAAGTGCCTATTAACCTTCCCTTACAAATAAGGCGGAGAGGACATCCGGCAGTTAAATAAGTGGCCCAAGTTCACACAACTGGGATTTGCTGAGCACCGTTCTGCGCGCACAATTCTTGGCCTTGTCTGATCCACTCCTTACAACAACGGTCTTGAATCTGTACATCATTATCCCCATTTCCCGGATGCGGGCACTTCAGGAAAGAGGCATCAAGTGGTACAGCTGTGGTTCAGAACTAGATCCATCAGACTGTGGGGGTTATTTAATTTTTCTTGATTTCAAAGCTCAGTCTTGCAGTAGAGTTGATCTTGACACAGGCCTGGCCACCAGTTATTAAGATCGACCCATAGCTGAGAAACTCTTGTAAATAATAACACTTGTTAGCCTTCTGTTGCAGCAAAATTTATCATTTGGATACTATACAACTATACTATACTATACTATACTATACTATACTATACTATACTATATACTATACAACTATACTATACTATACTATACTATACTATATTATACTATATACTATAGTATAGTATAGTATAGTATAGTTGTATAGTATCCAAATGATAA